ATTTGTTAGTGGACTGTTGTGGGAAGACAAGAATGGCGCAAGCAATGTTGAAAAAATCGCTAGGCGCCTGGGGACCGCCTAAGGCACCTAGAGCGCCTAGGCGGGCGCCTAGGGCTCATAGGAGGCCGATCGCCTAGCACCTAGGCGCCGATTAATCGGTGCCTAGGCACGATTTTTGCAACAGTGGCGCAAGAGTCCACCGTCGACATATGAGCACGCTTAGTGGTGTTAGCCCGTAGTTGTTTAACTGGGTTTATCCCTCATTCATGATCCCAAAAAAAAAAAGTGTTTTTTTTTTAATCAGCATAGCTAATTTATTGCTAAAAAAATTACAAGATCAATTATATATATATAGGGTTGCATTCACAAGCAAACACCCTTAAAATACAAACATGTGAACATATACTGTGCACAAACCTAAATGCGAGTGTGCACACATCCAATATAGTATATGCATGTGTGAATCCACACTATTTGGGTCGGCGTGCACACATCCATGAACGATAGTGCACATAGGCGGGCAACACACAAAATCATAAAAACTAATCACAACCTTAGGTACCCAAAATCCAACGATCCAGAAATGTCTACACGTTTGTATTTTAAGCCTTGTTTTTACATGAATGTAATTCTATATGGGGTTATATATATATATATATATATATATATATATATATATATATATATATATAAAGGGATCATGTGCGGATGGTGCTTCCCGTGCGATTGTGCGTGTGGACTCACATTAAGCATTACATTGGTGTACTTTAAGTACACAACACACGCACATTTGAACACACAAACAAAATATATTCAGAACACAAACTCACGCATCTTAAGCACATAAGTTACGCATCTTAAGCACAACCCTCACGCACCTTAAGCACAAAACCCATGCACCTTAAGCACAAAAACACACGCACCTTAAGTTTTAACAACTCACATTAAGTACACACTCACGCACATTAAGTAAAAAACCCACGCACCTTAAGCACAAGACTAACGCACCTTAAGCACAAAACTCACGGACATTAAGCACAAAACTCACGCACATTAAGCACAAAACTCATGCACTTTAAAGTTTCAACAACAACTCACATTAAGTACACACTCACGCATATTAAGCACAAAACTCACACACCTTAGGTACAAGAATCACGTACCATAAGTACAAAACTCACGCACATTAAGCATTACATACGCACATTAAGCACAAATCTCACGCATCTTAAGCACAAGACTTACGCACATTAAATACAAAACTCACGCATATTAATCACCCGCATAGGAGACACTTACCCGGACTGAAACTTAATTATATATATATATATATATATATATATATATATATATATATATATATATATATATAGTAAATACCAGCAGAGGTCCTCTGACTTTGGTGGCATTGCCACTTTTAGTCCTCAACTTTTAAATCAACCACTCTTAGTCCTCTTACTTTTTGTTTCTAGTCATCTATGGTCCTTCCGTTAAACTTGACTATCTAATGTCGCTTTCTCAAGGATAATTCAGTCCTTTCATAATTAATTTATTAATTATTATGTTTGCCGAGTCATACCGAGATATCCCGACGTTGTTTTGACACAACCTTCATACCAGCTTTTGTACGCCATTTTGATTCACGAGTTGGTTTTGTACACGTTCATAGCTGGGGAAACCATTGTTTGACTATTCTGATGAGGAAATTAAACATAATAATTAATAAATTTATTATGAAAGGACTGAATTATCTTTCAGAAAACGGCATTAGATGGTCAAGTTTAACGAAAGGACCATAGATGGCTAGAAACAAAAAGTAAGAGGACTAAAAGTGGTTGATTTAAAAATTGAGGACTAAAAGTGACAGTGCTACCAAAGTCGGAGGACCTCCACCGGTATTTACTATATATATATACATATATATATATATATATATATATATATATATATATATATATATATATATATATATATATATATATATATATATATATATATATATATAGGGTTGAGTTCACATGAGGACAGTGATATATAGAGGACTGCACGGACAAATAATAGGCACGCGATAAATTAGTATCATGCACACAATTTAATACACAATGGCGCACTAACATACATGTAAACATTAGGTTTCAACTCATGCTCTATTAATTAATAAACCTATGCGCACGACATACAAACTATGGCACACGACTACATTAAGCATGCACACGACATACAGACTAATGACACACGACTACACCTGTCAACCCTATACACACGACATACAAACTATGGCACACGACTACATTAGGCTTTGCGCACGACATACCGACTAATAGGACACGACTACACCTATCCGCACAGTCTTCTATAATATACATGTCCTTATTTGAATGCATATATATATATATATATATATATATATATATATATATATATATATATATATATATATGGTAGGGTTCCAGTGAGAACATGTGCTTATGTGAGAACATTAGAACACATCATGTGCATCTATCTAATATTTTTCTAATGGTATAGATTAGATTAAGTGTATGTGAACGCGCATTAAATGTGTGCAAACACACTTAATCGCGTTTGCACACATTTAATGCGCGTTTGCACACACTTAACCTAATCTAGACCATTAAAAGATATTAGATGGATGCACACGGTTTGTTCTCACGTTCTCACCTAAGCACTTGTTCTCATATGATCTTAAACCTACACACACACACACACACACACACACACACACACACATATATATATATATATATATATATATATATAGAAAATGATATGGGATAAGAATTTTAAAATAAACATTTACTATACATTGATAACATATTTATAATTTAAAATAAGATATAAGTTTTTAAAAGGAAAATGTTGTTTTCCTCTCAAGAAATATTTTTTTAATATTTTTTTTCTTGACATGACTTATAATTATTGGATATTATTAATTGACTAACTCACATAATTTTAATTAAATATTAAAGTTACCAATCAGATAGTAACAAAATCATTATTCCATAAGCGACGGTCCACACATTTGTGTGAATCATAAATAAAAAATATATTTTTAATATACTAAAAGTATTTTATTTGTATACGTAAAATACATTATTTGAAAATATATGATTATTTTATTATATTACTCCATATTATATTATTAAATAATATATGTTCAGTATACAAATAATGTACATTTAATATATTCAAAATGTATATTGTATGCATGATTCACACAATTATGTGGACCATGATCCATACAATTTGCCATAGTCAACATATCAAGAGGGAAATTCTAGGAGGGATGTATATCATTAAATTCCCCCAAATAGGGCTTTATTATTATTTTTTTTTTTTTTTTTTTTTTTTTTTTTTTTTTTTGTTTTTTGAGAAAATAGAGCTTTACTTTTAGTCACTTAGCTTAAATCTAAATAATTATATTTTTGCTTCCTTTACGTGATAAGTATAAACACGTAAAGAGACATTATTAGTATTGCAAGCTGTCTAATGCCTTATATAGAATATATTGTGAGATCTCCATCATGATCCTTATATTGATTTTAAAGCAAAGTTCTTTTTTTTTAAAAAAAATAAATAAATAATTGACATCTTCATAAATTTTAAATTAGTTTGTTTACATATTAAAATTTAATATTTTGTCTTTAAAAAAAATTAACATTTTGAAATAAAACTATTAGCATAATCATGATCTAGCATCTCATAATGAAGTAGCAATATTGTTTTAAATCTAATAATAATAATAATAATAATAATAATAATAATAATAATAATAATAATAATAATAATAATAATTGCGAATAAAGGAGAAGAGAAAAGGGTTTTAATTGGGAAGGGTAAATTATGTTCATTTCTTTAAAATATTAAGGATAAAGATGGAAAAAAAGTTAGGAAGCTAGGAGCTTATTTTGAAACGCTACCTTAGGTAGCGTTCCAAAATAAGCTCTTATTTTAAGCTAGGGGCTTGTTTTGGAAACATTACCAAACAGAGCTTATAGCTTATTAGTAGTTTAAAATAAACTATAAGCTCTTAAATAAGCTCTGTCAAACATAGCCTAATTTTTTCACAAATTCTTTCATAGAAAAAGTGATATAACTCTCAAAATTATGGTGTAATTATTTTATCACAAAATTAGGGTATAGATTCAATGTCTTACCCATTTAGTTTGGTATTGCACCGGTGTAACTCAGACTTTATAATTTTCCATAATTGATAATACTATCACATTAATATTTAGTAAAATTTATAATACATTTTTTATCAATCAAAATTAATTTATAGATAATATAAATAATGAGTCCATGTATATTTTAGTATAAAAGCTGAAGAATATCAAAAAGATATTATAGAAGTTGTGTACTTATTATTTAAATCAATTCATGAATATAATGTCAAACCTATGAATCTTTAAAAAGATTTTTTTTTTTTTTTTTAAAAAACTGCCTATTCATAAATTGATTATTAGCTATTTTACAAATCAAAAAGGTAAGTATTCTTATTTAAAAATAAAATTTACATAATAATTAATTATCAAAAAAAAATCCTATATAATATTCTCTCGCATTTTACATATTTTGTTTACTATTCAATACAACCAACTCTTTCTTCATTGCTTATATTTTTAGCTAAGTTGGTTGTTGGTTATGTTCACTTCTTATCCCTAAGTTATAACTAACATCGTAAAATTTGTTTTGTTTTTTTTTTTTTAATAGATCGTGCTCACTTGTTGTTCTTAAACTATAACTGACGTAGCAAATTTCATCGCTAGCTAATATTTTGTTAGAAAAATAACAAAAATTGTTCCTAAAGTATAACTGATATTGTAAATTTTCTTAGTTAATGTTTTGATTCGAACTTGTAACCTCCCATTTAGAATAGTGAGCTATAAAATAATACGGAGTATATTAAAACAAAAAGAATGAGACAAATAATACGTTTTTGTTATTGGGAGTATTTAAAATGTTTTTTGGAGGCATAGTAGTCATTTTCCAGTGAGGTCTGGAAGAGTGGCAAGATTTCTCACCGACGGAGTCACGGAGAGAGTGGGTATAAATCCTCAGTCGTGACTTCAAAGTCATCTGCTTCTCGCTCATTCTCTCGCTGCTGCACACTTTCACTGCCTCGCATTGTCTTCCATTCAAGGTTAGTTGGATCTGCATTTTCTAGCTTTCCTCATTAGCAACTTTCTATTCAGAATCTGATCTGATTTTACATTCGTAACTGCCCTTGAATTGTCTTCAATGCATGCATTGGTTGATTGTTATTATCTTGATTTGCAGTGAAACCCGCATTGAGTTTTCATAGGTCATAGAATTGTACAACTTATTTTCTTGATCTGGGTCGACAAGATCTGGTCAAGGAAGCTATAGAAGAATGGGGTTTGTTGAGAATTTCAAGATCTGGGTTTTGTTTATCTGCTTGGCATGGGGATTGGGTCATGGGTTTTATCTGCCTGGTAATTATCCTCACAAGTATGGGGTTGGTGATTTTTTGAATGTAAAGGTCAATTCACTGACGTCAATTGACACCGAGATACCCTTTACTTACTATAGCTTGCCCTTCTGTAAGCCCCCAGAGGGTGTTAAGGACAGTGCTGAGAATCTCGGCGAGCTCCTCGTGGGGGATAGGATTGAAAATTCTCCCTACAGGTTTAAGATGTTCTCAAATGAGACTGAAATTTTCCTCTGTCAGTCAAAGCCATTGTCAGGGGAGGAGTTTAAGCTTTTGACGAAGAGGATTGATGAGATGTATCAAGTGAATTTGATTCTAGATAATTTGCCTGCTATTCGATATACTAGGAAGGAAGGGTTTGTCTTGAGGTGGACTGGGTATCCAGTTGGGATTAAAGTCCAAGAAGCCTATTATGTGTTTAATCACTTGAAGTTTACTGTTCTTGTTCACAAATATGAAGAGCCCAATGTAGCTCGGGTGATGGGTACGGGAGATGCTGCTGAGATGATCCCAACCGTTGGGGGTGCTGGATCTGAGGCACCAGGATATATGGTCGTCGGTTTTGAGGTTGTCCCATGTAGTTTCCAGCACAATGCTGATTCAATTAAGAATTTGAAAATGTATGATAAGTATCCGTCTCCTATTAAGTGTGATCCCTCTACAGTTGGCATGGCTATAAAAGAAAATGAGCCTGTGGCCTTTACCTATGAGGTTAACTTTGTTGAGAGTGATATCAAGTGGCCTTCAAGATGGGATGCTTATTTGAAGATGGAAGGGGCAAAGGTGCATTGGTTCTCCATCCTGAATTCCCTCATGGTGATCACTTTCTTGGCTGGAATTGTGTTTGTGATCCTGTTGAGGACAGTACGGAGAGATCTGACTAGATATGAAGAGCTTGACAAAGAGGCTCAAGCCCAGATGAACGAGGAGCTATCAGGGTGGAAACTTGTTGTAAGTGATGTCTTTCGAGCTCCAAGCAATCCAACACTCCTGTGTGTGATGGTTGGGGATGGTGTTCAGATCCTAGGGATGGGAGTTGTGACTATTCTGTTTGCTGCTCTTGGATTCATGTCCCCTGCTTCTCGTGGAACATTGATTACAGGTATGCTGTTTTTCTACATGATTCTTGGTGTTGCAGCTGGTTATGTCGCGGTTCGTCTCTGGAGGACAATCTTCTGTGGTGACACCAATGGCTGGGCTTCAGTTTCATGGAAAGCTGCATGTTTCTTCCCTGGGATTTCATTCCTTATTCTGACCACTTTGAATTTCTTATTGTGGGGTAGTCATAGTACAGGAGCCATTCCATTTTCCCTGTTTGTTATTCTCATTTTGCTTTGGTTCTGTATCTCAGTTCCCCTTACCCTTATTGGGGGTTACCTTGGGGCAAAGTCGCCTCATTTTGAATACCCAGTCCGAACCAACCAGATCCCCCGTGAAATTCCACCTCAAAAATACCCATCTTGGCTTCTAGTCCTTGGTGCCGGTACCTTACCTTTTGGTACACTTTTCATTGAGCTTTTCTTCATCATGTCTAGCATCTGGATGGGTCGTGTGTACTATGTGTTTGGGTTTCTCCTTATTGTTATGATCCTTCTTGTTGCGGTGTGTGCTGAGGTGTCTCTTGTCCTAACTTACATGCATCTTTGCGTCGAGGATTGGAAATGGTGGTGGAAGTCCTTCTTTGCTTCTGGGTCGGTTGCTATATACATTTTCCTCTACTCCATTAACTATCTAATATTTGATCTTAAGAGTTTGAGTGGACCTGTTTCTGCTACGCTTTACCTGGGCTATTCATTGTTCATGGTTCTGGCAATCATGCTGGCAACTGGCACAGTGGGGTTCCTTTCCTCTTTCTGGTTTGTATACTACTTGTTCTCTTCTGTGAAGCTGGATTGAAGACAGGGATTTCAGGGAAAAGAAAAAAAACAGTTACATCTTCGAAAATCGTACAATTTACTTATATTGCTTTTCTTATGATTGCTGTTTTGTAGGAAGCTGAAAAAAACAATAAACTTGATAAGCTATAAAATTTTTGTTATTCTTTATTACGTCATCGATTCGTAAGCTTCAGTAGATGGTATGTATTGTGAGTGTTGGATACTTAACATGAATGCTTTGTTGTTCATTTCACTTTGGTTATCAAGTAGTGATTATATCAATTTCTTTTTTATTTGTTTTGTTGGTCATTGTAATGGTTTGCTCACTCTTAGTTAGTGTTGCAAAAACTCCGCCTAGGCGCTAGGCGTTCGCAGGTCGCCTAGCGTATGACCATAATCGGTGGTCTAGGCGGTCGACTAGACTGTCTAATCGTCGCCTAGGCCTCCTAGGTGCTAACTAGGCCGACTAAGCACTACCTAGGCACCAACTAGGTCGTTTAGTCGGCCGATTAGTTGTTGTATTTCTTTCAATTCTTGGTCTGTGATAGGGCTAAGGGCTGCTCAAGTAGGCTGAGAATTTCCTTCATGAGTTGGGGTAAGGATTGTTTTCAACTCTTGGGTCTAAAGCCAAGGCTTCGCCAATTTCTAATTAGTCATTTTTATAATCGAATTTGGCCTATGTTTGGTCCGTAGTTTTGTAACAAGTTTTCATCAATAAAGAAATTCTTTATGCTTGTAAGAATTTATTGATGATGAGGGACCTGGACGTGACCACAAGTTAGTGGTTGCTTTGACTTTAATGTCTATTTATTTACAAGATCAGAAAAATGTCATGAGGGACCTGGACGTGACCACAAGTTCGTGGTTGCTTTGACTTTAATGTCTATTTATTTACAAGATAAGAAAAATGTCAACTAATTTGGCACAGCAGTAAGCAGTTATACAACATGGCTCCCACAAAGAATCCACATTTCAACTTCAACGATAAACAATTAAATCGGGGTGGCCAAGGCAACTTCAGTTTAATTGTTATACTATGAATCATGATTTATCTTGCATTGTGGACCTTAGTTTAAAAATTATGTGTTATTATCTGGTTAACATTGTGCTTAATATAAATATAGAGGATTCTCTCCCTAGCCTTCTAGGGGTTTTCTCTCTCTCCCTAGCCTTCTAGGATTTTCTCGGTCTTCGGCTTTGGCTCTCTCTGGCAAACTTTGTCAATTCTCTCTGGTTTTCTGCAACGGACTATTACGTTGATAATGATGACGTTGTCTCTAGCAACTGGTGATGCGGTGGCGGAACTCACGTTACGTTGTGCTGATATCACAATAGCAGAGGAGGAGATCGACTTCACTCTGGCAATTGCGGTGTCCAAACAAGGGCAACAATGGTGAGGAGATGTGGATTTTGGTTGGGCTCCTTACGGGCCGCATAGTGAACCTTGAGCTTATGTAACAGGTTATGACATTAGTTTGGAGGCCAGTAAAAGGAGTGCAAATTTCTGAAGTATAGTCGAATCTGTTCATGTTTGTGTTTTTTTATGTGTCTGACATGCACCGAGTTTTGGACGAGGGTGCTTGGTCCTTTGAGAATAGTACTTTAGTGTGCAAGCAGGTCCAACATGGTGAGCTGCCCGGGCATGTGACTCTTGGCTCTGTGGTCATGTGGGTGCAGTTGCATGATCTCCTGGTTGGGTATACGTCAAATGTTATTCTAGAGCAGATTGGCAACTTCATCGGATCTTTTATGCATTGCGATGACAGGCAGATTGGAGGTCCATGGAAAGCCTTTTATCGAGTTAGAGTGCCTATCCCGGTGGCTAAACCGCTGAAGCGCCGCATGAAGCTAATAAAGCGTGATAAATCGTAGTGATGGGTCTCTTTCAAATATGAACGCTTTCACTCCTTCTGCTTCTTCTATGGACTACTATGACACATAGATAAATTTTGCCTTGCAACGCGAAAGACGACCATGCCGTCTGATCAGTACCCTTACGTGGCGTGGATGCGTGCGGGCTTGAATCGCGGTCCAAGGATAGTAAGAGAACGGTGGTTGGTGCCTGTGGGTGGTTAGCCTAGAAAAGGTGTGGTGGATGAGCTGGGAAGTGGAGATAAGGGTGGTTCGGGTGGGGTGCTTGATAAGTGTTTATTTGTCTATAGTTTTCATCTTTTCACTAAGTCATTTTGCTTATAGATCAATCCAATTTCATGAGATTATGAATAAATTGTGTTATTTTGCAAGGAGTTTGGTTTGGAAAGCTTTGGAAGACAATATGAATATTTTCATGCATTTTGAAGGGCATTGGAGTCAAGTGGAGCATTGTGGATACATTTAGAGTCAATGAGAGCCAAATACGAAGCTATGGAGATGGATACAATACTTCCAAGGGAGCCTAAGAGTGGTGTATTCAATGGTCTTAGTCATTTGGGCAAACCAAAGCAAAAGAGGAGCAAAAGATCAAGGCATTGCAATTCTCGCACTGCACGTCGACGTCTTAGTATTTGGACCATATCTCAACCTAGGAATGTCTAAATAAAGTGATTCTTGCACCACTTGAAAGAAGACTCGAAGGATTACAACTTCATGAAGACCTCAAAGTATAACTCTGAATATAAAAAGGTCAAAATCAGCCTACAAATCAAAGTATCGTTGTAAAGAGACTTTGGACGCGTCGAGAGTTGGCAGACATGTCGAATTTGCATTCTGTAAATGCTCGACGCATCGAGAGCCTCATAGATCTGCGATTTCCAGCCGGCCCTTGCTCCTATTTAACATAATACTTTTAGGGCACACAATGCATTGTGCACCCTGGTGCATGATATAATTTGTCAATAGAATTTAAGAGTGTGCTTCATCTCAACTAAAAGCCTCACTCATGATGTGACATTAGTTAATTGGTTACTAAATTCTCCTTTTTTTTTTTTTTTTGAAAGAACCAAATTCTCTTTTTAACTAGTGGTGTGTTAACTAATTCATGAGCATTAAATGATTACAAGCAAAATTAAGAGGCGAAATTTACGAGTAAAAAGTATTTTTCAAAATTAAAAATAAAATAAAAATTTGACGGCATGTGTTCTCTCTAAGGACATCTCGAATAGTGAAGATTAAAGGGGAGAAAAGGGAGAGAAACAGAAGGAACACTATTGAAGGGGAAAGAAGATTATCTTCTGAAAAGAAAATTCTGATGGGGACATCTTTTTTTTTTTTTTTTTTTTTTTTTAATATTCGATTTTGAATGTTAATTTATTCCATAGACAATTTTAAAGGCGAATATTAATTTATGAAATTATATTTTGATTACTTTATAAAATTATATTTTATAATTAAAAAATTATTCCGTATTATTTTTGTTTAAAATTGAAATTGTAATTATAATGTTGAAATTATTAATTACTCCGTATAAAAAAGTGAATAAAATAATATATGATAGGTAGGAGTGTATACGGTTTGGCTTAAAAAAAAAAAAAAAAAAAAAAAAAAAAAAAAAAGAGAGAAAAAAGGAAAAGAGTTGGAGAAAAAAAATAAGAGAAGAAATTATAAAGTGATATGGAAGAATTGAATTTAGAAATTGAAAATGAAATCGTGAACCATTGCGATAATTGTTATTCAGTGGACCATGATCCACAGTGCTATGTCGACCATGATCGTTAAATAAAACTGTAATAGAATTAAAATGATATTTTAGTATTGCTAAAATGAAACAAGTGTGTGTGAAAAATAAAACTAAAAAATAGAGTTCATTCAACAACGTAATTGTCATATGAAACTATAGTATAATTAAAATGATATTTTAGTGTTGTTATAATTAAATTAGTGTATGTGAAAAATGAAACTAAAATCCAGATCATACAATAACATATATAGTCAAATGAACCTAGAGTGTAATTAAAATAATACTCTAATATTGCTATAATTAAATTAGTGCGTGGAAAATGAAACTACAAAATAGAACTCATGCAATAATGTATATTGTCAAATTAAACTGTGATAAAATTAAAATGATACTTTGATATTACTATAATGAAATCAATGTGTATAAAAAATAAAACTGAAAAATAGAACAATATTATCAAATAAAATTGAAGCATAATTAGAATTAGTATTGTCAAAATGGTTCGAAGCCCGCGGGTTGGCCCGCAACCGCCCCGCGATGGGGCGGGTTAGGGTCATGAAAAAACAGGCCCGTGAAAATGCGGGCTTAAAGAGGCGGGCCAAAATTAACCCGCAACCCGTGCGGGTTAGCCCGCACGGGCTGCGGGCCGGCCCGCGGACTAAACCTATTACAAAATTAAAAAAAATAAAAAAATAAATATACGTTACACAGCAAGGCAGAATTCTGCCTTGCTGTGTAACATTATATATATATATATATATATATATATATATATATATATATATATATATATATGAGATTAATATTTTTAAAATATTAATTTTAAAATTTTTTATACACTAGAAAAAAGTTCATGAGCCAGCCAGCGGTTTTAACATGTTTATTAGTTTATGTACTATTTATTATTATTATTTTTTAATTTAAGTAATGACTCACGGACCAGCCCGCAAAGCCCGCATGGGGTGGGCTTGGGCTGTGTAGTTCCAAGCCCGCGGTTTCGCGGGCCGGCCCGCAAAAGCCTGCCAAATAAAAAGTCCGCATTGGGGCGGGCCTAATGGGGCGGGCTGGCCCGCATTGACACCCCTAATTAGAATGATATTTACTTCATAAACCATGTTACAAGTAAAAATTTGCCCCATTGTGAATGCTAAGGCCTCAAAAAAAAAATGAAAAATAAAAAACTACAAAAAATATAGTTGAGTTGAGAGTGGAGAGAGTCCATCGAGACAGGAATTTTGTGGTGACAGTTTGTCCGTTGGATTTCTCCCTCTTTTTCTCTTCTTCTTCTTCTTTTTCTTCTCCATCGCCCTCGCTACTTCAACTTCTTCTCATTCTTCTGCCATGTTGAATTCTTCACTCTCTGCAACTCGCTCTCACTCTCTCCCTTCCACTCCCACTCCCACTCTCTCTCCCCTTTCTTCTACTTCTTTTCTCTCTCTTTCATCGCCATCTCCCTCTTCTGTCTCTTGTCTGCTCCCTTCTTCTTCTTCTTCTTCCTTTTCAAAGAAACTCACTTCTCTCAGTGTTTCCCAACTCGCTCGTCCCAACGATCCTCGCAAACAACGGGTTAGCTGCTGTTTTTTCCACAGTTCTTCATGAACATTTTTTTTAATGGATTTTTCTCATTCTTTCTTGTCATTGGAATTATATGATCAAATTGTAGTTTTTTTTTCTTCGTAAACTGATTTAATTTCCATTCAATTTTTGCTTTTCGTAATGAATGAGAAGAGCTTGAAGGTAAAATGTTCTCAAAGGGAGCCATTGAAGGTGATGATATCGGGAGCTCCGGCCTCGGGTAAAGGGACTCAGTGTGAAATGATTTCGCAAAAGGTCATTTCTTCAACTCCTAAATATATTATATAGATATATATCATCTTGTAATTTCATGCAAAATATTTGAAATTTGATCAGATTGGATGAGCATTGCATTAAAAATAAAGCAGATCACTGAATTGAATAAACCACACAAATCAAACTCTAGTAGAGCTTAGTTATTGGGAGTGGCTGTTAATTTGTAATTCCTGAAAGGCCTTAATTGAGTAAAATGAAATTAAATGGTAATGTTTTACTGTGGTCCATTACTATTTTGGGATACTTAAGCCTATCAAGAAAGTATGGGAAGACATAAATTATGAAAATGTTGAGAAGACTGTCTAATGTACCTTGGTTTTTGACATTTCATGTCATATAATCAAGTATAAACATTTGGTTAATAGTTTGATGTAATCTCTATTTTAATTTCCAATTTTAATGAAGGAAATATTGGTAGATCCATAAACTAAAGCCACTGAAGTTGGCCCATTATTCCCACTAATGAATCTTCCCTGTGCTTTTTCTTCAGTTTGGATTGGTTCATATATCAACTGGTGATCTTCTTAGAGCTGAAGTGTCAGCGGGTACAGATATAGGAAACAAAGCCAAGGAGTACATGAATTCTGGTCGTCTGGTTCCAGATGAGATTGTGACATCTGTATGAGATATTCTAGCAGCACAAATATCCTATTCTTCAATATATTTTAATTGCATTATATTTTATAGATGGTGACAGCAAGATTATCTCTGAAAGATGCAAAAGAGAAAGGGTGGCTTCTGGATGGGTACCCTCGAAGTTTGGAGCAGGCTAAAAGTCTGGAGAAATTGAAAATCAGGCCAGATGTGTATATTATGCTTGATGTACGTCATTTTGTCTTTCATAATCATGCTGCAAATCTCTTTCCTTACCTTCTTCTGTCCATATAGCAGGCACTATTGTGCATGAAAGAAAGGAATATTGATTTTAATTTTTTCTAAGGATTAGCCTGTCTGCTATAATAAAGACAGATATTGAATTAGTTTGACCTCTAATTTCATCTGTCACTGAGTACTGGAAATGAAGTTGCACAAAAGCTTCGATATTGGCAGTTGTAATTACCAAAAACTCAAAAAGGTTTTGATCATCTTGTCAACAATTCTCATATGCTATATCTTGGTTTTCTATATTTGGACAGGTTCAAAGGATTCTTCTTTTTGCCTCCATTGTGCTTGATCTTTTACAGAAAGATTATCTTTTTATACAGGTTCCTGATGAGATTTTAATTGATAGATGCGTTGGTAGAAGGCTTGATCCTGTAACAGGAAGGATATACCATGAAAAGAATTTCCCGCCAGAGACTGAGGAAATTAAAGCAAGGCTTGTAACTCGTCCTGATGACACAGAAGAAAAGGTGTGTTAAACCAGCACTGAGACAAGTTTTTAGTTTCCTATTATCAGAACTTTTCTGGCAAGCCTTTTGAAACACTACTCTTCCACAAATAATTTAGTCTGGTCTCAAGAAAAAAAAAACAGTTGTGGACATGTAGGCATAGATATATAAAATAACAATTTGTCCACCAAACTCATGAAATAACCTTAATAAAGCTAGGAGAGCTTTGGAAAGATTGCCACGCATCTAAATGCAATGACACTTCACAAGGTACATACTATATCTTTCAGGTGAAAGCACGCCTGCAAATATATAAGCAAAATTCAGAAGCCGTCTTGCCCATATACTCGGATATACTCAGGAAGGTATGTTTTCAGAATCTTAGATAATGCTAATTGTATCGTCTTGTCTGTTCCTCTATGGCTTCATGATCTTTTGCAATTATCCATTCTAAACCATGCAGGTCAATGGCAACCGCACGAAAGAAGTAGTTTTCAATGAAATAGACTTACTGTTGTCACATGTACTGAATGAGAAAGAAAAAGCAGCGAAATCAGGTATGGACTTCAAGCTTAGTAGAATGCTTTATTACAGAATGAGAAAGAAAAGGCAATGATATGTTACCCAGTTATACATGTTGCTCTTGGAGTCACTAGAAATTCATTCTTATTGATTGCAGAATTATCAACAAAAACTACTACTACCCAAGCTAATATGGTGTCTTCAAGCAAGGTATATGCAGATCTTGTTGCTCTTTTGGTCCCTCAATTATTAGGATATAGTTGATTTCGTCCCATTTAATCATCATAGCAGAAATTGTCCTCACTTTTCAGACTTCGTTGTAAATTTAGTCCCTGTCTATAGCCACTGTTAACAGCACTAAAAGTGGGCTATTTTGGTAAAAGCATCTTGACTCCCAAATTATTAAAATTAAAATATCAACATGAATTTAATATTTAAAATTTAATTAAATCTTAACTATAATTACACTAAATTTACTAGTCTCATGGCTTGGCTAGCCAATATTTCTTCTCCCATTACAAGTCATGGTTATCTTATTTTTTCTATTACTATGGACAATTAGAAGGATTAATTTTCATTTAAGTAAACTAGAGAATGCATTTTTTTGTCATTTAGTTCTATATAAGCTGTTAACTTTATGTTCATTCATTTTACTCTACATGCAGACAATTAAGCCAAAATGAAATTAATTTTAAAAAATCACAATATGAACTATATATACCTTAACCTTTTCTTAAATAATAGTTCTTAGGAGTTAGAATTATGCTAATAGCCCGATCATTAATATTATTGGTGTCCCTATTGAAAAATTCTTCTTATTATTTGTTGGGGTTTTTCTTTTTAAGTGTATTAACACTGTTAACAGTGCCTATAGGAAGAGGGACTAAATCCACAACAAAATCTGAAGATTGGAGACTATTTTTGTTATGAGAATTAACAGGGGACTAATTTGACAATATCCTTGTAACCTAACTCTTCATGGTCCAATTTACAGGACAATTGGAGAGGTATACCAACCAGATTGAACAATATCCCTCATTCTCGAGAAATTAGGGAATATTTCTATGATGATGTGCTCCAAGCTATCCAAAGAGCTGTAAACAATGGGAAAACACGTTTAAAGGTTTGTTGCTTTTTTTTTTTTTTTTTGAGTGATTGAGTTGAGCCCAAACTTAAACTGAAAAATGAATGCTGCAAGGATCTAATGCTAACATGTTATTTTCTTCCACTGATTTCCTTAATACTGTATGTGCATGGAAAATTAATATTAATCAAACCAATGAATTCTCTAATGATGTATGTACATGGAAAATTACGTTGTCAAATGAATGAGTTCTCCATGCTTAATTGTAAAAACCATGCTTATTAATTGCCTTGTTACTTGAATGTGACCAGAAAGCAGTGCATCTAGCAATATCTTCATTGGATTTCATACACTCAAGTTTGGGCTAAGACAACTTGCTTTTTCATTTCAAAATGACAGGTAGAGATCAATATTCCTGAGCTAAATCCTGAAATGGTAAGGAAATAATTTTTTAAAAAAGTTTCATTTAGATTTCTTGGAGTTAACCATACCCTATTTAATGCACAGGATGTTTATCGAATAGGTACACTAATGGAACTTGTTCGAGTCCTTGCTCTCTCATTTGCTGATGATGGAAAACGTATCAAGGTATGTTTTCAAATGCTTTCCCGCTTTCTTTCACCTTCCTGTTAAGGAAATTTATAAATTTTTAACTTTCTGCATCTCCTTTTTAGGTTTGTGTTCAAGGCTCAATGGGTGAAGGAGCACTTGCAGGAATGCCTTTGCAACTTGCAGGAAGTAGAACGATACTTGAGTACATGGATTGGGGTGATGATGGTGCTCTGGGTACCTTTGTCAAGATAGGTTCAATTGGTATGAACTAAGTAATTAGTTATTCTGACTAATTATTTGCGTAATCCCATTAGTTGATAAACAACCCCTTAATTACGTGCAGGCTTGTTAAATATTTCAGTGTTAAAAGGTATACGTTACTAGTATTTTCTGTGTCATTCAGGGGCCAAGGAGGTGGAGGAACAGGATGACATGTTCATTTTAGTGGCTCCTCAGAATGCAGTGGGGAATTGCATTATTGGCGTAATTGACAGAAAACTACAAAATTTTGTTCCAAAGTACACATCTGCTTAGCTGCTTTATTTATTTATTTATTTATCCATCTATCTTCTCTCTGTTAAACGATGCAGGATTTAAAAGCTATGACTGATGCAGCTGGTAGCCGCCCAGTCATTCTTATCAATCCCAAACTGAAGGTTGGCTTTCCATTTGAATATATCCAGAACTAGCTTAAAACGCAATACTAGGATCTTAAGTCTCTCTTAACTAGCTTTTTTCATATTCTGGTGTAGGATGTACCTGGCTCGAGTGGCATTATGCAAGTAAGTACAAATCAATAAGCTATCCTAATAAACAAAAAAGCCAAAATTTTCCTGATTTCTGAATTTTTTTAAAAATTTATACTAGACAATGGGTCGGCAAGAGAGATTGGAATATGCGGCATCATTTGAGATATGCTACTTGTTTCGCCTTCTATATTATGCCGGAACTCAATACCCAATTATGGCTGCCCTAAGGTTAGTTTGCTATTTGACAATTGCATTCTGAATCTTTTTCGTTTTTAGAATTTCACTTTAAGAATCAGTATACCTTAGCTTCTACAATATATAATTTCTTATATATGGTGTTTTTCTCTGATCCATGTTCTGTCTGTGTACTTTGTAATTTCAGAATGTGTTACCCATATCCTTATGAATTATACAAGAGGGTTGATGAAGCAGCTGGTAAGGAAAAATATGTTCTGTTGACAACCTTTGAGGAAAGACCTAGTGGTGATGAAATTAACAACGCCTTTGAAGGCAAACCGAGGTACAATTCATTATAGCTCATCGCCTTCTTCGTTTTCATCGCTTCTCATTCCAAACTGCAAAAACATTAAACAACCTATGCTATTATCTTTACAGAAGCCAAGAAAAGAAGCCGTTAGGAATTTGGTAAGAATCTACATTGTTTCCTCAAATTAAACCCTTTTAAGGCGGTCGGCCATGACATGCTTACATATTCTTCTTGTAGGGGATTCTTGAGTGGTATTCTTTGAGTGGAAATAGGAACAAGAGATCTCCAATTTGCACTCTTAACTACGGTAAACTAACTGAAGAATATATAACCTTAGATTCCTTTCCAGTTTCCATCTTTCTGATCATCAGTATATCATTCTGTGACAGAAAAGTATTCATCGAAGTGGAAAAAGTGCAAGATGTTGCATGGGGAAAATGCATTTCAAGCTCCCTATTGCATGCAAGACCTTTTTTCTTCTATGTTTTGTGTTTATAATAATAAGGTGAAGAAACATCAATCTTAAATTTCAACATGTATGTTATTGGTTCGATCTGCTCTTTAAATTTTCTGTAGAGCTGTTATATATGTAAATATGCGTGTTGCAAATTGATGGTTGTTCCCCATATTGGTACATTTGAAAATTTTACTGTGGACCATGGTCCAAAATTGTGTCGTACGGCACTCATTTTGTGTAATTAATTTTGTTCGTATAACATATTTAGTTTCATTTTATATACATTGTAGTTTCATTTTGTTTGAACTACAGTTTTATTTGACATTATACACTGTAATTTTATTTTGTTATGAACACATCAGAAATATGAGATTTGTTAAATATAACGACTGTCGTTACTTTATTTAAAGAAACATCGCTGCTTTCGGACCATGAACGTATAACGATTGACATTTTAATCTATGGTTATATATGATTAAGCCGTTAGTTTGGGCTCCCGTGATAATTCTGTGTCGCAACTCGCAAACTCCATTGCATGTAATTGTACAAGTCATTGCCGACGAATGTTAAATTTCCATAACTGTACGTGTAATATTTGGGCCAAATACCTCATCCCATGTAATGACTCAAAGGTATACATGCTCTTCCAATCATTATATCCTGGACTAGGGTCTACACTCACAGAATTCATGTTCATAATATACATACACATAAACACGATATAATGAATATGAATTTTATGCATTATATAGCTGATGACACATAAACACTTAACATAATACACAGAATTTATATTCATTATATTGTGTTTATGTGTTTATGTGTTTATGTGTATCTGTATTATGAACCTGAATTATGTACCTGAAGTCAAATTCTGTATATTATATGTGTATGTGTATTATGAACATGAATTCCCTACTCAAATTATGTATATTAGATCAGGATCCACGATATAATTTGCCATCCTCTTCTCAACCAATTCAAATTTCGTGTCGAAATGTATTGCCATTCACGGAAATATCGTTGCTAAGAATTTGTGGATGTAAATTTATTACCAGATTTTTTGGATCTCAATTTGTCGCTATATATATATTGTCGCTATATATACATGAAGTAAACACGGATTTGACGGAAATGATGAAAACCCGTTCGAAATTTTGGGATTACGTACGCCACCACGTCATAACTCTTTTTTTTTTTTTAAATGCCGCGTCATATCTTTTACCCAAAGTGGGTTGGTTATACGCATCAGCTGATTTCATATGCTTCTTGATAAATGCCTAATTGGAGAATAATATTTTACCAATCAAAAACATTTTACTGAACATATTATCACTTACTTTTATAACTTTATTTAATTAATTTGTTATGAAATTGTATAATTCACAGATAACTAATAAGTTACATCCTCATATTAAAATTCACTTTTACTTATGGGGTTCCAGGATTCGAACCATGTGAATACAATTACCTTAAAACTTATTAAACCCATGAGCGAGTGTTTTGTAGTCTTACCCGATATGAATATAATTAGTCTCTTCTTGATGTATGGGGTCCTAGTGTATCCTGACTGGAGAAACTTTTGACCGAATCAAAAAATCACTTTTTTTTTCAATTTGGTGAAACTGGCCAATTATAAATAATTTTGTGAGTAATAAAATGAATTCAGTCATCACTACTCAAAAGCATGTACTAAGAGCATCTGGCATCTGCAATCGTTATATCGTGCACCAGGGCGCACAATGCATTATGCGCCCCGCCCTGTCCAAAACGACGTCGTTTTGTTAAGTTGTGTGGGGAGTTGACGCGACGAAGTTTATATTTATTCTGTTATACAATTATGTACATTCGAAACATTGAATTTTTTTTAAGATTTAAGAGTTTATGTGTATTATGTTAAGAGTTTATGTGTATTATGTTAAGAGTTTATGCATATTATGTGTATTATCCTTTCAAAAAAGGTTGTGTATTATGTTAGGGGTTTATGTACATTCGAAACATGAGATTTTTTAAGAAGTTAGTAGCAGACACGAGAAACGGAATTTCTAAAAAAAAAACAAAAAAAAAAAAACAAGTACAAAAAGATGTCGTTTTGGGCTAGGGCGCACAATGCATTGTGCGCCCTGGTGCACGATATAATTTGCTTCCACAATGGTGGAGTTTTTTTGTGGTTTTTGAGGAGTTTTTGTAAGTGTGATTAGGAAAAAGAATATGAGAGGAAAGAGAAAAAATAAATAAATAAAACAAAACTGATTTTTTTTTTTTAAAAAAAAAAGAAAAAGTATGTCATCATGCCTAACACGCCACTGCACACGTCCGCTGGCCGCACTTGTGACACTCAGGCGGCGCGCACAGGACTGGGAGATTTCTTTCGTGGGTCTCATATTTCTGCAAATAACTCCACCCTTGTAGAAGGATCCCTTTCTTCTCTCTCTTACACTCTCTCTGCCATATCACCAAACACTGTTCTAAAAATCCCATAAAATTTACTGATAATGATGCTTTAAGTAAGTGCTTCACAAAATTTTTTGAGGGCAAAATCTCCCATTCTTCCTTGACTTCTAACAAGTAACATGTCCTTATTAACAGCTCATGTGCAAGTAGTTATGTATAACAAAGGATTAAATTTGGCAACTTAAAAATCAATGAGGGATGACATGTAAAAAATCATGAAAATTAGAGATCAATAACTAAGGGGTGTATTTAATTAAGATTTTTATAGAGGTTTATATAGTTTAATCTATTTTAAGGATGAAGTAAGTAATAAAATTGAAAATTTGATTAGCATTTAATTGAATACTATATTTAAAGTCTTCAAATAAATTTAAATAAATGGTAATTAATTAATTAGCAATGAAGCCAATTAATTTACAAATAGGTAAATAATAAAAAAAGTACAATTTATCATATAAAAAAAATTATAAACTTTATGATATAATTCAATGATAAATTTTATTAAAACTTTACGTCAAAATTCTATCTATTCTCGCATCAAATGAAATGTAACGTAATGTACTAATGTTACTGCCGAACTTCCTGCCTCCAACGAACTATCACTTTCATTTATGTCCATGTGGATGTGGTCACAATGTCATATGCACCGGTATCATCTCTTTCATGGAACAAACACAAACAAAATTACTCTCTACAACTGTATGACCAAACAAAGTAGAAATTGTATAGTATTCAGGTTGGGGTGAAACGTTTACTCTTGAGCTAGTTTTTGTGGTGAAGTTTTAGTACTGATTTAAATATCGTATCATTTGATATTCTTGTGTAGAGGTTAGTGAATGACCACTTCAGATATCAACTTTTTTAAAAGATGGATAATGATACAAGTTAAAATTTTGACTTTAGTGTTGTATTAATGTCATTATTGGCTTTAATGTTGTATTAATGCGATTAAAAAAAATTTATTTTTTACATTTCCTTGTCAACTTTTCCTTATGTTTGTGCTTTTTAGTTAGTAAAAAAGAAAAGGGTTTGTTGTAGCCAAATGAAAAGATAGATGATGGTAGTAACAACTAATTTTTCCTATTTTTCCTTAATCTATCTTTATCCCCTGTAATGCTCTCTCACTTTTAAAAGTGAGTCCTACTTTCACATTGTCAAATTTACAAATCTTTACTATTTTTTTTATAGAGTTCTAGTACATGTACTCCCAAATTCTACTCCCTCACTTTTATTCCATGATGTTGCAAACAAATTAAAGATATGATATTTTCATCACGGGAGTCCCATGAAAAGCATCTACATCAAAGATTTGTGAGAAAGAGTAGAAGTTGAAAATAAGAAGTGAAAGTACATACAGTATTTTCCATTTTAAAATGCCTGGTATTTTTAATGTTGAGGAGGCCGAAGTTGTGTGTATCCGGGAAGCTTTAAGCGGGTTAAAAGGAACAGGTTTGGAAGAGGTGGACATTGAAACTGATTTTCAGATTGTTTATTTTGCTTTATGTTCGAACTCTTTTATTTCTGCTTTTGGCTTTATTATTGATGATGTTAAAGAAGTTGCTTCCGCTATACACGAGGTAGACTTTATTTTGTTAAGCGATATGCGAATCGTGTCTGCCCACATTGTTGCTAGGGAAACTGTTTCTGTGTCAAGTTGCAAGGAGTGGTTTGATGATCCTCCTCATTATCTTGTTGAATGTCTTCTGAATTAATTTCTTATTCTCAAAAAATAGATCTCACTTTCACATCACATCAAAACAAAACAAATAAAGAATTAAAAACTAAAATAAAAAATGTACCTATCACAACAAAATAAAAAATGTACACTGCCGCAGTAGCAACTAGCAACTAGCAACTGTGGCACCTTTTGTACTGGTTGCAAACTTGCCGCAATTTCAAGTTTGCAACCCAAATCAACAATATATATATATATATATATATATATATATATATATATATATATATATATATAAAAGTTCCAGTGTGGGTAAGTGTCTCCCTTGCAGATGTGAAGGTGATTAATGTGCGTAGATTTTGTACTTAAGGTGCGTGAGTCTAGTGCTTAAGATGCGTGAGGTTTGTGTTTAATGTGTGTGAGTGTGTACTGAGTTTTGTGCTTAATGTGTGTGAGTTTTGTACTTAAGGTGCGTGAGTCTTGTGCTTAAAGTGCGTGAGTTTTGTGCTTAATGTGCATGAGCGTGTACATAATGTGAGTTGTTGTTGAAACTTTAAGGTGCATGAGTTTTGTATTTAATATATGTGAGTTTTGTGCTTAAGGTGCGCGAGTCTTGTGCTTAACGTGCGTGGGTTTATGCTTAATATGAGTAGTTATTGAAACTTAAAAGGTGCATGAGTTCTATGCTTAAGGTTTGTGCTTAACATGCGTGAGATTTGTGCTTAACATGCGTGAGGCTTGTGCTTAACGTGCGTGGGGTTGTGTTCTTAAGGTGTTTTGTTTGTGTGCTTAATGGGTGTGTGTTTTGTACTTTAAGTGCATCAGATTAATGCTTAACGTACATCCACCCACACGGGAAGCCCCACCTGCACATTTAATTCGCGTTCGCACACACTTAATCTAATCTAAACCATTAAAAAATATTAAATGGATGCACACGATTTGTTCTCACGTTCTCACCAAAGCAAGTGTTCTCATTGGAACCCTACTATATATATATATATATATATATATATATATATATATATATATATATATATATATATATATGTTATTAAAAAT